AACCGGAGGGTGTTTCCTGCCTGCATGGTCTTTCCAGTGATTTACTGCCATTTGCCCTGGCCCTCTCTGCCAACACCGCAGCACAATAAGACCTGGAGACTTGAGGGTGGCTCCTGCACCAGACTAAGAGGATATCTGAGCTTGGAAGACAGCAGCATTGTGTTCACTGTACAGTGAAGTATTCCTCATATGCAGTTCAGCCCATTAACGGCCTGTAAACGTACACCTCAGTCCTCAGCAAGTCAGACACAGATACCACTGTCAAAGACAACACTGAGGTATGAAAGCAGGTCTCTCAGCCAACACAGCACAGAGTAACACACTTGTAACTAGTGAAACTTTCATTATCTTACATGGATTTTGTTTTATTTTTTGTACCTTTCAGATACTTTATGGTCCCATAATTTTATGGTCCATAATTTGCGCAGGACATTCCTTGCCATTACCTGTCACCTGACAGCAGGTATGACTGACCCTGTGCTTGCACCCCCTCCACATTCTCCCCTGCAGTTTCACAACTCAGGTATTACAAGTTGCACCCATAAAAAGTTCAAGGGTACAAAAACTTTCCTCCAAGCTCTGCCCTGTACCGCAGTCCCCTGTGGAACGTGCCGAAGCGGCAAATGCTCACCTTCCAGGGTCCCTCACTCACCTTCTCAAGACAAGCGGTGACCCGTGACAGCCCAGTTGGCTACAACCTGCCAGATTCTGCCTGAGGCGCGTGATGGTCCGTACCTTCCACACACACACACACACACACACGCACACACACACATAGAGGGGCTCTCGTGCCATCCAAAAGGCTTTATCTGAGGTGGGTGTTCCTGCTCCTTCTCGCACCTCCCAGCAAATGCTAATTATGCCACAGCGACTATGTGGCAAGTCACAGCGAATGTGTGGATAGGGAAATGAGTTACCTCTGCAGCGGGCAACCCTACACCATCTGCCAAACGCTCCTGTCAAAGCAGAACCTCATTCACAACTTATGCTCACTCTGATGGCACAAAAAAAATATTCAGCAGACTTTTCCCATCTACCCTTTACATTATTGTAAAATTAAAAGTTTTTTTTTTCTTTTTTTAAACACTAAATGAATACACAGGCCTTAATCTTCTAGTGCAGTGGTTCTTAGTCCTGATCCTAGCACCACCCCACCCCAGCAGAATGTTTTCATTGCAACCCTTATTCAGGCCATTATGGTCCTTAATAGGCTAATAATCAATGAGGCAGGTTGAAAGCAGTGTGGGCTGGAAGGAGAACATTCTGGTGGTGGGGGGAGGGGGGCAGGAACAGGATTGATAACTACTGTTGTAGTGTACAGTATGTAATATGTTTGACTTATCAAATTATTATAATCATTTAATAATAATTCTGAGACAAATATCTGGATGTACAAAGGTTAAAATCTTGCATAATTTACTCAGCGTCATTCACTGGTATGACTGCATATCAACCACATTTCCATGGAAATCGTTTTGGCTACTTTTACTGAAGCAACACCTTTACAAAAATCATGAATAGAGTTCATGTTAACTGAAACAGGCATAATACATATTACAGATTAATAAATAAATCCATGTGCATTTCTGAAATATCTAGTGTTCTTAAGCAACAATATGACGTGTAGTGAGGGATAGTTAGAAGAAATGTTCATTTCAGTGCTGAATTAAACAGTCCTCAATTTTCACCCACAGATAATAAATTATTCCCTTATCCATTCGGTGAAAGAGATTTACTCAGCAACTGTGCGAGCATAAATAACAGAATAATGTCCAGATCCTCAACAATGAACTGTGACTTATTGTGCTTTTCCTTTACATTTGATGTCATGCAGAGCCCCACTAAAGCGCTTCTGTTCGGCAACGTTGTAAACCAAGGCCAGCAGAACAAGGCCTGATTGTGTGCAGTCGCTTTCCATAGCCTGCCTGCTTTGCTCCATAAATAATGGCAACATTTAAGCATCTGTTTGCTCGGCGCACGGTGTCTTTATCCAGGGTTAGACCCAACAGTGCACAGCGATGTCGGCAAAGCCCGGCTTCACAGCCGTGCCACAGGGGCCAAAGTCCTGCCAGACCTCACCTGCCCCGCCCACCTGCCCCATGGGTGACACCTGAAGCAAACAGGTTACTTAGTAAGCCATGTCAAAGCAAAGGCAATTCGTAGTGTGTCCAGTTAGCAGATATGATTAATCAAATTTATTGCCCCAGTTAATTATTGTCCATTTAGGCAATAAAAGAAACCACTGCACAAACCCCTAAATGACCACTGTACCTGATTATTACTGTTGGTTTAATCTGCAGCAACCGTTTAATTGGTCGAAATGTTTCATTTTTGTTCTGTGTGTATATTTCCCATATGCCCCCTACCCCCCCCCCCCCCTCAAATCCTGAATTAATGTCGCCAGGCTATTTGCAACAAATCTGTTACCACAGCTGAAGATTGGCTGATAAATTTGGCTGAGCACGAGGGGGGGGCGCTCACAATAAATTTGTCGCCCCGCAATCCCATTGGCTTACTGGGAAAATGCCGGTATGCCAGTTAGCCATTCCAGCCTTGTCTGTCACAAAAAAGCAATTGCAATCCACAGGGACAATCCGCAGGAACAACAGCATTAATCAAGTCTAAAAATGAAAATGCACATTAAACATGGTTACTATAGTTACTACTATAGTTACTACTATGAGCAAAGTAACTACAATAAGAAGTTTATGATGGTGATAAAGTCTTTCTTCTCCTAGTCTAGTGCACCAGCTTTCTTGCATGTTTTGTCCTGATCTGGTGGGAGATCAGTGGGTTAAATCAAACGGTTATGCTATCCCACTAATTCAGCTACAACCAAGCCTAATAATAAAGAAAGAAATAAAAAACCTGGTAGGGGAACACTGTTGTTTTACACACCAAAGATCATGGGTTCAGGGCTGGATGGTGTGCTCAGTGTAAACATAAGCCTATGACACTCTGACAAAATAATATTTTATTATAAAACAGTATTTCTCAACGATGATAGCTAGATAGATAGATATATAGATACATACATACATACATACATAGATAGATAGATAGATAGATAGATAGATAGATAGATACATACATACATACATACATACATACATACATACATACATACATACTTCATTCATCCTGAAGGAAATTTAGGCATCCAGTGGTACAGACAATAATACACACAATAATACAGTAAAACACAAGGATTGCAGATGTAGAGAGTGAAGGAGCTATATAGGTCAAAGTCATGTGCATGTATAATATTACATGCTACCATACATTATGCATATATATTAGAATAAATAAACAAATAAAAATATATAATTTAAAAGTATAATATATATGAAATATATAATCTGTGTACTTTAACGTTTACAGTAAGAACGTCTTCCTGTTGGCTAAAGCTCTGGGAATGTTCCTGCCACCAAAGCATTTTATTATCATCATGTTAGGTTTATCTCTGTATGTTTATTCTAGGCTTACGTTGTTATCGTGGATTAATATCTCAATATCTAGCCTATTTCAGAATGCACTTGCATATATGCGGAATGTTTCAGCGTTTATTTTCATTTTCGTGTATGTTTCCTAATAGTTTTATCTACATCTGTCACAATAACTCGATTAAATTCGATTAATCGGCTATTTTAAAACATCGACTAAAATTCTCCTTCTATAGATTACTTGGCAATATGGCGGATGGAAGAAGGTGTGGGGGATGAGGATCCAAATAAAGAAAGAAAGCATAATTTGTGTGGAAGCACTTCACCTTAAAAGCCAATGAGAATGCAGTCGTGTGTCAGTATTGAAAAGCAAAACTTCCAAAATCACCACAGCGAAACGAAAGTTAGCAGGGTTACGAAGTCTCACGCAACTGGCGTTACACTCACGCTTCCAGAGTCACGCAAGAAATCTTGCGACAAATCTAAATTATTCCATTATAACACTAAAATAAGCTACATCAAAAGTGTTGGGGTAGTTTGCAAACCCAACTAACTGTTTAGATTGTAATAAAACTGTGACATACTGTACATGTAAATGTGTGCGCATGTGTGTCCAGACTTGTTTCGAATAGAAAATCTCACTCGATCCAGCCAGCTGACCCGAGTTGGCAACAGCGGCTTAGCCCCGTCGCTTTGCCGCATCGTCTTACATAAAACAGTGCGTGATACCATATAATATTATATTTTTTGCTAAAGTATTGTGAGGAACCATCATTAAAACTGTAGGGCTTGCTAAATTCTGTTTCCTGTGACTGAGTAAAAATGTTTTCGTGCAACTTTGATTTGAACATAGCAGACTATAGCGGTCATATAGCGATATATATGACAACTGCATGTGCATGAAATGCCATCTCGATATTATTAACATGAGAAATAATTTAAAATTCCTGTAATGTACGGAGTTCCTAACAGTTTACAAATGTGTTATCCAAGTTTTGCACATACTGCTGGTCCAAACAAAACCATTTCCTTCAACAACATTGCTTATATTCAATTTATCTATACTTAACATCAAAATAGCCATAACTGACATGAAAAAAAATCCAGAAGTTTTTCTTTGTACAAATCGGCCCAATGCGTTTTGAATGGCCAACACATGCCCACAGTCTTAGTGCACAGACTTCCATATTCACCTGGATGTGAGCATTTTCAGGTTTGCTAATAGGTTCATTAATTCAGCCTAAAATCCTTTTCCTGCGCAATTGTACCCTAACACTATTTTAGGATTACGATTATGTTTATACCTGTCAATTTTCACTACCTTACACAGAAGTTTCTAAGCTTTTGTTGCCCTGCGGAATCACAAATTCTTAGTCATCAAAGGATTGCCCAGACACCCAAAGTCAGACATCCCAAAATTAGGCTACATACCTGCATGTGTTTAAGCGCAATGCTCTATTTAATATAAAGGCCTACTGTCTACTTTTTAATTTTCTTTTTTTTATCTGTAAATACATTGCCAACTACCATTATAAGTACAGAAACTGTAAGGCTTACCTTTGCACGTTTCCTTCAGTGCTGGTTATTTCCCAGGGGAAATTGTCTGCTCGCCGCCCAGTCTCTATAACTTTGCGCTGTAAGAAGTCGCAAGTAACTAAAAACTCACCGCCTCCCACTTATCGGCAAACACAAAAGGATTTCTCCCCTGTCTGTAGGAAATGACAGATGAGTTAACGTGTGTCTCTTTATTAATCAAGGAGTTCGGGAGTAACTTTCCTGACCGGCTAGTTTGCCTGTTGCCAGCGGTATTCTGTTCGCATCGGAAGAAAGCGAGCGTTCACCTGGTGGATTAAAAAAAAAAAAAACCGGAGTTTTATTTTTCTTTATTGAAATAACAAAGAAACTGGTTCGGCAAGTTCCCCGGACAATATCAATCGTCACAGACTTGGTAACTCAAGAACAGTACTTAACGATGAGATACATTATCAAACAAAAAGGATAAATATAGGAAGACGACCTAATCTGATAATTTTTGTAAGAAGTTTCAATTATTGTAAGTTCAGTATTTTTCATAAAATTTTAAAATACTACAATTACAATACTAATATTACAGTTACGATATTTAACCCATTAATAAATCAAATGAATCAAATGAATCAGTCTCACATTAAATGATTTCTGCGTAGTAGCCTACCCTATGGAATGTGAACGACACTGTTTTACACGGATTTTAGGTAGCCTCAAGAACATTGTTTTTTTAGATTATGAAGAATGAACATTGGGTACAAATAGAATTCAAAATTATTAAAATAATACAGCTAAAATAATAGTAAGTTGCCCGTGTCTGTGCGCTATGTTCTTCAGTTATGAAGTACAGTGTTGTACTGTAAAATAACTGCCAGGAGGTCTACGCGCGTACTTCCTGGTGGGGGCGCTGTTAATCCTAACAGGGCTTATTTAGCAGTCGTTGTCTGGCGCTCCTCTTTCAAATAGCTGCAAGGAAGAGAAGAAGTTGAGACTGTCAGAAGTGATGTTAATAGCGTGCTTTGATGTTGGTATCTTAATACTCACGCGTTCTGAAGTAATTAACTAACGATGTGCATTTTAAACTGGCAAACAGGCATACTGTCTGTTTTTCGAAATGCGTAGGAGAAAGATTTAAAAGCTAGCTAGCTACCCATCTCCTACACTGAACAAAATGCCTCTTATTCCTGCAAATCAACCTCAGCTTATTCGCTCGAGTCAAAAAGATGAGTATTACCAGAACTGTCTCCGCAATAACACCAACGAAGCCTTCCAGACTTTTGCAGGCAAGTCAAAGTCGTCATCTAAAAAAGCGAAGACGGTTCTGCACATACTCACATAATAAAGCCTTTCAAAGCAGTACTGATTTGTTTTATTTCCAATGCAGGATCCAAAAGATGGCTCGAATGGAGAAAAGAGATTGAGTTACTTGCAGATCTTGCATACTATAGTTTAACAACATATGCGGGTAAGGAAGACTAAATTGTTTCTCGTTAGTGTAAATTTGCTTTTAAATACATTGTTTAAACAGAAAACTTTTGCACGAGTCGCTTTGAATTAATGTTTTCATCAAACACAACTGACAGATTGAGCCTATTTAATACACACCTTTAATGTTTGCAATTCAGCTTATGAATATTGCCGACGGATGCATACAATAATAAGGTCCCCCTGGGAACTCAATCGAAAACCTGAAACGCTATACTTCACCCTGTCCGTATAAATATTATTCCTGGTTTCAAATGATCTTATACAGTCCATACTCTTCCACTCTCTTTTTAGGATACCAGACTCTGGGCGAGGAGTATGTTAGCATGGTCCAAGTGGACCCCTCGAAACGTAGGGTACCCTCCCATAGTCGGCGAGCTGCTCTGGTCTTCCTCCACACCTTTCTGCCCTACTGCCTGGACAAACTTTTGGTATACCTGGAAAATGACCTCCAGGCTGAGGATCTGGACTCGCACGCAAGCCCGGGTGAGGCTGGCCATCGGTGGAGCCCAGCTTCATGTGTGCGGGCCCAGATCCGGCGGCTGGTGAGACTGCTGACGGAGCCCCAGAGGAAGGCCCTGCTGCCGATGCTCCTCGTGTTCCAGCAGGCCGTCACCCTGCTGCACAGGTTCCATGTGGCCGTCTTCTACCTCAGCGGGACCTTCTACCACCTCAGCAAGAGGGCAACGGGTATTACTTATGTAAGTGGCTGAGTCCGGGTCCTGCCCTGGTTTTTATTCATTTAAATAAGGCTGGTTATTTTAAAAGCATGTATTTTGAAATTGGTTGATTCGAGGTCTGAAAAGTTAAGAGACTCAACAGACATGGGGGAGTCTTGTAGTTGAACGGTTGCCAGTTTAAACACTATGACAGGGCATCTGTATAAACGGGTATCTTTTGGTTAAAAACCAAACACAAATCTTGAATTTAATTTGGCATATATTCATACAGAATGTAAAATAACTACAAATTTGTTGACTATAAAAATGAGGAGAGCACAACCTGTTAAAGACTAAACCCCCACTTGTGTAAATACTATGAATACAGGGTTAACATGCGGCTGTGTGTGGATGACGTGGCTCATTGTGTCCTTGTCTTTGTTCTGTTAAGCTGCGTGTTCTGGACATGTCCGGCGATGACCGGCTGATCCGCAGCAGCTACAGAGCGCTGGGCGTGGTGTCCCTGCTGCAGCTTGCCCTCACTCTACTGCTGCAGTTCAACAACTTGAGGCAGAGACAGAGAGCCAGACAGGAGTGGAAACTGCACCGAAATCTACCTTCCAGGTACATTAAGTAATTTTTCAAATGATACTTATAATACTTGACTGAGGATTAATTTATAGATTGATAGTTTTTATTTTAATGTTATCTGGGCAAATTAGGTCTTTGTGCAAGCTTTCTAAATCCATTCATTAGAAATACTTTTGATCCTGGTTACCAGCAGGGCGGCTCAGTAGTTAATGTTATCGCTTCACACCTCCGGGGAGGGAGATTTGAATCCTGTATCTGCTGTGCGTCTGGAATGAGTGTCGTCTTTCTCTCATGGGTTTCTCCTGCAGCCTGAAGACATGCAGCCACTCCCTACCTGGCATCTCTAAATAGAGCATAGTTTATGATTTTGTGTGTGTGTGTGTGTGTGTGTGTGTGTGTGTGTGTGTGAATGAGAGCCCTGTGATGGCCCTTCCATCATTCCATCCAGGGTGAGCCCCAGCTTTGTGGCCTGTGCTGCCTGGGCTTGGATTAGGTACCCTGACCAGGATTAGTTGTTTTAGGGTGGATGGATGGTGTAATGTCAAGCGCTTTCTTGCCCGCCGCTCTCCCCATTCTTTGCGCAGTGCCCAGCCAGTGGAAGCCTCTGGTTCCCGGGCCTCTCGCTGTATTCTGTGTCTGGAGGAGCGGCGACACTCTACCAGTACTCCCTGTGGGCACCTCTTCTGCTGGGAGTGCATCACCGAGTGGTGCAACACCAAGGTGAGGTTGGTCTGCTTCGCACACACACACACGTTGCTGTTTGCTGGCATTTTAGATGAATGTGAGAAGGACAATTCTGACATAATAGAATCGAATCTGGGTGATCCACTCGTATTCTCTATGCGTAAATAGCCACCTGCAATTTAGGTGTGACACCAACTCTTCACACACACCGCCCTCCTCTCAATTTCCACCCCCATGTCTGGGTTTATTAGACCCTGATTAGAAGATTGCAACCTTAACCCCAAGAAGGTGTGATCATCCAGCAGCCTCCAGAACAATGATAATAACCCATGTTTTTCCAAAGCGGCCCCTTTCATAGAGGTGTCCAGACATGCTAATGTGGTCTGAAGAATGCAATTGCTGAATTAAACTGCCTTTCTCAATAACACCTTGCAATGTCTATATCGCCCATCTGCGGACTGCAATTTCCAGAGAAATAAGTGAATCTTTGTTTTGTTCCTTTTGCAGGCGGAATGTCCATTATGTCGTGAGAAATTCCTGCCGCACAGACTGGTGTATCTGCGGAATTATAGATAGAGGATCTGCATGACATTGCATGACGTTGATTTTGATCATTCGATAATTGCTATCATTTACCCCCGTGGACATTTAATAATGAATCAAGTGTGATTTTGTTTTGTGTTCGATTTCTAATTGAGTATAACTTAAAAAAAAAACATTGAATGTATTTCTAAATACTGGATTGTATCAGTCCGCATAAATGTAATTTGTGTAATTTTGTTTTATATCAGCAGCCTTAATATAATGGAAGTTACCCAGATTAATAAACTCCCCCCATGAGATTTGTGCTACTCGATCTGCCTGCTGTTAGGCACTCTTTACACTTGGTTCTGAAATGTGTGTTGGGCGATCGGATCACAAATGGACCACCGAGACACATCGTTGTTCACATGTCTCCAAGGTGTCCAGCTGACCGCTTCTGTCCTGATTTCCTTACTGCTCCGCACACAGTTATTGTGACATCCTTGTTGGGGACACACCCAGGACGTATTAGTGTTTACACTACTACTGTAAATGTGGTCTAATGTGTTGCAGACCACCTCAGCAAGTGGTCTAAGTGATTGGATCACTGTGCGTAATGGTGGTCGCTTACACGTGTTTTCAGCGCTGTCCACTTACGCGCCAGTCGCCTAAAGCACATTTAAGTGTAAACAGGACCTCAGATATATTTTTTTACAGTTCTGCTGCTCACCGTCTGCCTTTGAGCTAATTGGGTGGTATAATTCTGATGAGGTCTTTATAAGCCAACTTCATTGGTCCATACTCACTGTGATGTCATTTTTTGTCGTTCAAAGTTTTGTTGAATGTTAAATAATAGTTGAATCGGTATGGTGCTGGTATTCATCCTCGTCTAACTACTTTACTAATCCAACCCCCCCCCCCCAATCTCTCCATATTCCATTCTCACTGTGGCTACTTATCCATGGTAGACATTCTTCATAAATGGTACAGCAGTGATGCCACAGTTTTCCTGAGAACATTCCACACATTGACATGGTCTATAGAAATACTATCAATCAAAGGCTTTGTTTTAATAAACACCTGTTGACCTGGTATTCATCAGTTTATTTGTATATCTATCATGCCTTGGTAATGATATCGTTTGTTTCTGTGATGTCTTTCCAGAGTTCAGTGTGTGCATCAGGACATTTTCTTTTTAGAGCTGTAATCTGCATTAAATGATCTTTTCTATTTTTTTTTTTTTGGCGTCTGATATGTGGGAGACACTTCAGTTTGCACACTGGTCTCCGTTGGTACTGGAATAAGTCCGTCTCATCCAGTCTGTTGGTCATTGAGCTGCTTTCCAAATTTGGTCAACACTTCGAATCTTCAGCTGCTAATCAATTTTCTATTACTTTGAAATCTCCTCCTAGCCTTCCTCTGTAGCAGTTCAAGATTATTTATCACATGTGCAATTGTGCAGTACAGTGGCAGTGAAATGTTGTTGTGGCAAAACAGCTCCGTCACTTTGCATAAACATACATTCATTATAAGGGGAAAAGTAAGAAAAGTAATAAAACGGAGAGAAAAAAGAACTATTAGAAAGGCAATCAAATTGTATGAGTGTAAATGAAGTGTGGAACATTTTATGCAAATTGTTCCACAGTATTGATGTGCAAATGCAGTCATTATCAGAATTTAAGACCAGATAAAGCAGAGTTTAAAGTTCGTAAAACCTAAGGGAAAAAGCTTCTCTGTCCTGGCCTTATGGCTACAGAGGTTTTGGCCTGAATGCAGCCGCTGGAAAAGTCTATGGCCTGGGTGAAGTGTGTGTAATTATCTGTTTTGCCCTGGTCCTGCTCCCATGAGTATAGACGTCCTGCAGGCATGGCAGCGTTGTCCTGGTGATCCGTTCAGCACACCGTATCACTCTCTGCAGGCCTTTGTACTCCTGGAAGTTGCAGCTACTAAACCAGGTTGTGATGCACCCAGTAAGCACAGGGCTTATAGTAGCACTGAAGAATGTCTTTAGTATGGTGGGGGAAACCTTGAATTTCTTCATTTGCCTGAAGTGATACAGGCAGTGCCTTGCTTTCTGCATTGGCGTGGAAGGGTGATTAGTCTATGCCAGGTCATCAGAGATATGCACACCACGATACCTGTAGCTGCTGGGTCTGGAGACCCGTAGATCCTGAGTGTAGTTCTGTTGCTGCTTCTGCCAGAAGTCCATAAAGCCATCTTCAATTTTGGAGACATTAAGGTCCAGGTTGTTGGACTGACACCACTGAGAAAGTGCCTCCAGCTCATCCCGGTAGGTAGATACATCCTCACTGGAGATCAATCCTTGAACCACCCTATCCTATGACCTGAGAAGAAGACTGGACTCCTTCGGTACTGTGTCTCTTTGGAGAATCCTTGGGTACCGCTGGTTTGACTCTGTGTCGAATGAGCGGTTGCTAGCGGAGTCCAGAATGAGGCACATTACCTGCATTGTGAGGAAGCGTCAGTTACGGCACTACAGCCATGTGGCGCTTTTCCCTGAGGGTGATCCGGCTCGCAGGATCCTCACTGCTGAGGACCCGAGCGGCTGGACCAGGCCAAGGGGACGCCCACGTGACACCTGGCTGCGGCAGATGGATGGCCATTTCTGGAGGGTGGGACTGGACCGTGTGTCTGCCTGGGGGATCGCTGGCCGGGATCCCGAGGAGTTTCGGCAACGTGCTGCATCAGCTCATGCTCCCCAACCTGACCTGATCTGATTGGAGCTGTGTAAGGATGTACAATCATGGGGGTACAGGGAATATAGCAGGGGACTCAGGACACCACCTTGTGGCCAATGAGGTAAGGGCCAATCTGACCAAATCTTCCATTACTGGAAGGTTCTTCCATGTGTCTGACCTCATTAATCATATCTAGGTTGTGTCTATCTTTGCTGTAAAAATCTTCTATGTATTCCATCTATCTCTGATTGATCTTATTATTACTGATGATTATTTGCCCATTGATCTCTGTCAGAATCCCCATTTATTTATTTTTTTCATGGATCTTCTTCAATAATAGTTTTATTGGACTTTGTGTTTCCTGGCAGCTTTCTGGAATTCAGTAATGTTAAGATATCCCTTTCCTGATTTTTGTGTTCAACTTTGGGCGCTTTCCACCCCACCAGACACAGTATTTTTGATACATCAGCTCCAAAAGTGCAGTACTTCAAGGTTTTGGTTTTCCACTGGTGTAAATACTGGTACCGGCGCTGAATTGCATCACAATGTGAGGCAGAATGTTTTGTACTGAATTCGAAAAATAGCTGTAATGTATTATATGGCTGAGCGATGTGTGATATTAATACCAACATTGTATGTTATGCACATGCAATTCTTACATCGCATGGACTGCAACAGTCAGCTGGGTTGAGATCAGGCTTTATTATACCTTCATACTGTCTGGACATGAGAGTGCAGGAGGTTTAAGCTGTACTATAACATTTTTACTTTGTCATAGGAAACAAAACATAGCAAGCATTGCAATTTTTATGATTATTCCACTTCAAAATGATCTAGTATATGTTTTGAAAGATCACTTTAAAGTTTACATCCACTACTTTTGCATGAGCACTGCATGCGTTCTCTTAGACAATCATAATAATTTTCATCCTTGCTGTTTAAATCACTCATGGTCGGGTTTGTGAGAAATTAATTTGTTTTGAACCCCTTTTTGCTTTATAAACATCCCAGTTTCTATTACAACAAAATCACATCGCGATATTTGAATTTTTTTCCAATACTGTGCGGACTCAGTATATTATATGTATTTTTTTTTCTTGGCATCCGGTTCACCTGGTTCTAGTCCAGATCATAGTTAAAGCCCAGGTCTCTTAATTCGTCCAGGCATATATTATTATTATTACTTGTTTTTAACTACAGTATATGCATGACCAATCAACAATGAACACATTTGCAAATCCCACCCCAGAGAACCACATTACCAATAAGGTACCCCAGCTGCTTTGGTACTTCAGGTACTAGAACTTTTGGTACCGGGACCAGAAGTCAATGGAAAAGTACCAAAAGTACCGCACCTTGTGCGATGGAGAAGCGCCATTTGAAGCTTGTAAATGAGAGTCTGTAGTTTTAAAACTACACCGTATCTTCTATGTTGTCCATTTCCCAGTTGTTCACCTAAGTGAAAGTGTCCTAGTCTCATCCTTTGAAGTTCACCAGTGCCCAAGATTGCGCCTCGTGTGCAGAGTCCATTTCCTTATTTACCCCTATATCCAGCTACACCCTAACCCTAACCCTAAACCTAACCCTGTGCAGCCCGACTGACAGTGATCCATTCTCTGCTGTTTCTGATTTTCTTTTCCAGCATGGCAACATTGGACATTGGTCTTCCAAAGGGTTTTGATCCAACACTGTCATAAACAGCAATTGAACAGCGAAGAATTCTTAGGTCTTCCTCAGTACACACTTTCCAACCCAAGGGAGTCATCTGGCAGCACTATATTATCGGCTCTGTCATGTCTGTTCATAATCTTTCCTTGGTATCCACCAGAAGTGGCTTAGCTTTGCCTTCTTCCACATAGTTTGAAATATTGTCTTTACTATTGTACCCACTGAGATCGTATGTCACTGACACAGTCCTGGTGGTCACTCTCGCCTGGCTCCTGTTCGGCATGTGTGACCTTGCCTGGACTCTAGAGAACACAAGTAATAGCTTATTGCAGCAAACCTCCAGAACCCTCATTTGCATGAATCATAATATATTCACTGGACTAACCTGTATACTGACATTATTGTTTCTGTGAATAATGTCTAGTCAAAAGTTTGGACACACCTGTGAATAGAAAGGTTTATTTGTAATATTCTCTAAAATTTTAAACAAAGCGTCAAATAATACATCAGAACTATAAAACATATATGGAATTATATAGTGATCAAAAAAGTATTAAACATAAAAAAAATGTTTTGGGGGGCAGCTCTGCTGGTTCAAATACCGTGGTCAGCAGAGTGATCCCACCATTGGGCCCTTCAGCAAGGCCCTTAATCCCAGTTGCTCCAGGGACTGGCTGACCCTACTGTCTCTTCTATACCAGTTCCATGAGGTGGCCTCCTGGGATGCTTTTCCAGCTGTCCTGAAGGAGGTCCCACAAATATGCTGATCTCTCATTGGCTGCTTTTCCTTCACTCTCTGGTCACACTCCTCCCAGACCGTTTCTGCTGTCTTTAGGTCAGGTGACCAGGTCCAATCTGCTCAGTTATCTAATCAACCAATCATCACTTGTTTGTTGGCGGCTAGGTGTGTCCAAACTTTTAACTGGTGCTGTATATACAGTTGGAACATGTAT